ATTGAGTTTATTCGAAATAAAATAAAATGATTAACTTATTGCTTATCGTTATTATTTTGTTAGTCTATAAAGTTTTTTGTATTTTTTGTTCGTTACATGAATTTTTGATGCAAGATATATTTGTCACGTGATATCCAAAACTTTTTTTTGTGGCGATTTAGCCCCGGTCTGAAAATTTGGTGCGGCAGCTAGGTTCAATTAGCCACTGCATAATTTCTTAAAAAATCGTTTAGCTCCTACATGCAGCTTTATTGTTGTGAAAATTTCTTAAACACTGTATATAACAAAGCATGTATAAATATGTACGTACGTACGTACGTATACTGTTATTAAGATATGGCGGTGGCACATGGATCACCTGATCCGGACTTTTGGGGGTCGCCCTGGCGAACTCCTTCAATCAGCAACGCTAAATTAAATAAATACGTAACTTTATTAAATACAATTAATACATTCATGCATTTAACAAACAACTCTAACACTAAATATTAAATTTCATTTTACTTTTTAACGTTCGTAAATTTTTTTTTAAAAAAACACAAAACTACAACATAAGAACTACATATACAAATAACATACACACGAAAAAAGTAACCTCAAAGCTAATATATGCATAAAAAAAAAAAACGTACTTTAAAGCTAACATTAATGCTTATTCTCTATTAACATCAGAATTATTAGAACTCAAAGCACTGCGCAAAGATCGCCCCACATAACTCTTTTCTCTCTTACCACTATTCGCATTCCTCTGACGTTTCTTCTTTATTCCTTCAGTCTTATCGCTTGCAACGACTTCATTACAACCAATATCATCATCTAATTGCAACTCATTATTATCAGTGACTGTCACAGAATTATCTAAATCCTCAACTTTTGAATAATTTGGAGAAACAAAATTATTCGAAAAATCATGACTTTTATCAACAAAATCTCCAGAAATCATTGAAGACGACGCCTCAACATCAGAAACTGCTTTGAATTTCCAGTAATATTTCGATGAGTAGAAAGAAGTTTTGACCGAGTCGTGTTAGTAATTTCAAATGAATTATTAGACTCAGTATCAAAAACATTTTGCTTAGAAGAAAAATAAGTATCAATGTAATTAACTTTTTTTGCATAAACATAAAAATCACCATCAATAATTTCCATCAAACCAACAACAAAATAAGCGAATTCAGTGGACGAATAGTATTCTTCAGATTTGCAAACCGTGAATTAGAATGAGGAAAGACAACTTTAACGATAAAGTAATAACTCTTCATAATCGTTAACTAAGACTTGAAAATAGCATTTTCATCATTGTCTACTACTCTAGGTAACCCTTGAGGAATGCCCACTAAAGAAATTTTTAATGGACATTTGTTGGACTTATCAACTTTATTAGAGATAGTTACACCATTCGAAATAGAAACTGTCATCTAAAATTTATAAAAATTCAACTCACAGAACTAATACCTTTGGTCTTTTCCTCCTCCATAGTAGCTAGGTACAATCTTACCGCCAATAGAATAAAATCCGTCTTTTTCAAACACAGCTTGAGTCTCAGGATCTTTCTCTTCAGGATTAGTAGGTACAAACAAGACCATTTCAATTTCACTATCCTCACGCTCTACCAGTGTTACTATCGCCACATGATTTTTCGATTTTTGCGCCACTATGATCCACAAGTTTTGTTCCTCAAACCGATAATCGTATGATCTGTCTTTCCACTTGCCCATCTATTCTATAATTGTACGTATCTCGATACATAGTTTTCTTATTGCCATATCGAGTTATACCCTATTTCCTTATTCATACACCTATACACCTAGTGTATTGCCATATTCAAATACCATATTGTGATTGACCATCGACGCGTAAAGCATAATCGTTAATATTTACTACAGTACATGAATGATGCTATGATCTAGCCTTACCGCCCTTTTTCTATTTCAACTGCGGCGCCTAAACTGGAAGTTCTAAGGTTGAGTCCTTTGAAATCACGATGGAGTAACTGGTCATCCAACGGGTCACTGACGTTTGATCAGAACGCATTTACTTATTATCACGCTCTACTAACCCGACCAAGCTTTTGCCGTCGAATGAATATTTCGGAAGAAGTCTTAATAGGATAAAGGAGCGAGGAGTAAGTTTAATTGGTGTTGTAGGAAGTTAAGGATTAGTAATAGAATGGTATCAGTATCGGGGGGAGATCTAGTTGTCGTGTAAATATAAAAACCCTTCGAATTCGCTTTGCTTGTAAAAGAGAGAAAAAAGACCAGTTGGTTTGTTCCCTCAGCAGAGTTGGTTTGTTCCCTCAGTTGAGTTGGTCTGTTCCCTCAATTATAATAGTGGTTCGTTCCCTCCCTTATAATTATTTCATTTTATTCTTTTTACTTTCATATTACTATTCTGTGAATACATCTTCACGATGCTTAATGTATTTATTGATTATTGGATTATCGAATCCAACACATTATATTAGTCTTCGTATATTTTAATAATAAAGTACAATTACATATATACCAAGTATCATTCACGATTATATACACATGCCACACATTCTTAAAATCTTTATTAAATTATCGTTAAGATTCTTAACGATCATTTGATTTTATTCCTCGAATATTACCCTTTTACAATCTTCCCATCATATGACCATCGATATATTTATAATTCTTACTACATCCCTTATATTTATCTCGCATACAAGACACCCCATATTAATAAATATCTATTTCGTTCACTATCGCTGACCTAAACCCGGAACCCACTTACTGACGCTCTCCCGATCCGATAGTAACACCGGTTATGTATCAGCGTAGCACGGCATAATATAGATTTACACCACAACCTTTAATTATTCATCACAATTACTATCATAATATTATTATAACAATTAAAATTAACAACAATAATAATTGTTATAATAAAAAGTACAAATTAAACAAAAAAACAATAAAAAGAACCTAAAAACATACACTTTCATTTATTTTTATTTATTTTTTTTTTATTTTTATTTTTTTTATAGGATTTTACTAAAACGCACCTACGGTGTTTTACACCTATGTATACATTATCTCAAAAACTGGTTAATTAATCGATGCGAGGTATTCTAAGTAAAAATGTTCTATGCCCCTAAAAACCCTCCCAAACCCTAATCCTAACCTTAATATTAACTTTAGCGTGAAAAAATTGATGTTAAAAATTTTATATAAAAACTTATAAAAACTTAGAAAATTTTAAAAAACATAATAAAAACATATAATAGGTGCAAAATCACCATAGGTGCGTTTTATAATAATTGTTTTTATAAACAAAAAAATTTGCACTTATCTATTTAACAATTCTATATCAATAAAAAATGACAATTACATCGTAAAAAATATTGACATAATCTTACAATTATCTAATTTTTACACCAGTAACAATAAATTAAATTTATTTAATAATAATAATATATAAATTATTTAACAATTACATACACATACCTGATTTTTTAAATTATTTATACAAAATTCAATAAGAATGAATACGTAATTATGAAGTAATCATATGTCATAAAATTTTTTCCTCAAAAATAACTACCACACCTAAATTAATATCCTAATCCAAATTAAAAAACTGAATAACATTGACGTACCATAATCTATAAATAATGCAATTACTTGAAAAAGCACAGTCAATAAATAACTGCATAGTCAAACAAAATTTAACAAATAAAAACACAGAGTCCTTAAATCATTATAGAATATAAAATAATACTACATTTTAAAATACCTAGCAATATTGTTTACGCTAAAATACAAAATTTGCTACTTCCGCACTAAAGATATGTATACTTTTAACAATCAGTGACCCTGATATAAGCAAATCAAAAGAAAACCAATCAGTCAACTTTCAAAACACTACCACATATTTAATTCAATATAAAACATAATTTTCAAAAACTAAGTTCACTATAATAACAAATATTTACTTACAAATTTTGTCTAGACAACTACTAAAAAGCTCCAATTTTTTCTCACTTTAAATTAAATATTAAACAAATAGAATATATACTTTTCACCTACTAACAAATTACAATATCTACTATAACACAAAATGATAAAAGTAGATTAATTTTTCAAAACAAGCATATACATCTTTTATATATTATTACATCCTCAAATTCTACCTTCCTAAAATATTATTTCTCCAACTTCACAATTTTAATTTTCTTTCTTTTAAACAAAGTAGTTTCAGGCTCTGTTTATTCTACTAACAAAGAATTCTAGCCATCGTCTTAGAATACAACTTAAAATAACAATTAACTTCTATATATTATATAGAATTAACAAACACATGAATAAGATAGATAGGGCAAATATGCTACCCATCGCACTAGTATGAAAATAAAAAAAAATATCAATAATAAAAATAAATCAAACACTATACAATATGATAGTATATATTTTATACTTTAATATTGTGTATATAGCAAACATAGTAATATATTATATATAGTTAAAATAGCTATAATTGTACTCAATAGATGAACTAAACTATAAAAGACTTACTCTTTAGCTTCACTAAAAACTAACTCAGATTTGAAACCTTCAGAATATACAGTAGAAGTGTTAGTCTTAATTGATTTCATTTAATTGTTGAAATTGGTAATTCTTGTCACTGTGAATATCGTAAGCCTTATTTTTGCATTAAATAAGAAAGTAAATTAGAATTAGCAATATGATTTTTCATGTATTAAAAATCGATAAATCAGATACCATTTTAATTGGTCTACTATTTATATACTGCAGAACTAAGATTTTTATTAGTAAAGAAAATCAATGAAACAAAAAAAATAAGATATGCTTATTTTTTAATGTTAATTTTATAAATATTTGCAAATTTATATTTTATTTACATATAATAAAGTGTATATAAAAACACAGAATAACTGAAGGATATTCTATAGAATAGGTGAGCAATATAAGAAATAAGCTTTGCTAATGATTAGTAATTATTAATTTTTAATAGCAGAGTTGTAGAGTTTGTGGAGTTTACCCACCTATTCTATAGAACATCCTAACTGAAAAATAAAATATAATTTATCTAATTAAATTCTTCACAACATCAGGAATTTTTAGAACATTCTAATTAATTTTTCTTGATTTAAATTTAAATTTCTATCAAGTTCTTGTATAATGGAGATTTGTTTTTTAACCTCTTTCTAAAAACAAATACAAATTAGATCAATATACTTATATAAATGATTTTTAACAGATATAATTCTTGACATACATGGAAAATTGATATTAGCCTAAAGATGCTTTCATATTTTGTTTGCATATCATAAATAAACAGAAAAATTGTTGATGTCAATTTAGATTCTATAAAAAAACTATCAATCAATATATTGAGTGAATATAGAATAATTTTTGAAGCTAATTTGGTAAATAAATATAATTAATATTATATATTCATTTTGTATAATATCTTGTTATTTAATAGCATACATGATTTCACTTACCAGATATTTTTAAATTTAGCATCTTGATGTTGGGTATGATTTCGATTGGAATATCCAAATTATCCTGCAAAATTTTTATTAAAAAAAGTAGATCAAAGTGTGCTTCTTTGTTTTGTGATTCTATTACTTCTAAACAACATATTTCTTTATGATCAAATATGTGAATTCTGATTCCAGTGACTATCACTACAAACCAATTAAACTTTATTGTATCAAATATGGCTTCATATTATCTAAACAGTGATGAAACATGCTTAATAACAAATTTTCTATCATTTATATTTCTTGAAAGTACTTTATGAATATCTACTTAATAGTAGCTAAAAAATGAATGATAAATATTACTAAAACTAATTAAAACTGATTTTAATATATAAAATTAAAACTGATTTCAAACTAATTAAATACTTACAAATTCATTAGAATTTTTTCAAAATATAATCTGAGTTGGTTATCTACATCATTTTTTATTTGATCTATAATTGGTTTTTTAAATTCAACTATAGATTTCTGTAAAAAAAAAAAAAAAAGGGTTAATTTATATTTAAGATAGTTAATTTAAAAAGAACATAATAAAAAACAACTAATAACCATGTCAAAAATATTATTCAAATATTTGACCAGATCACTAGGCTATTCAAAATATCAGATATTTGTATTTTTATTTAATGAAATTTTGTTGGCTAACTCTTCAGTATAACTAATGAAAAGTTAGTTATAACAATATAGAAATGTTTAATATTTCAAGAAAAATATGAACTTACACAAAAATATTATCTGATGCAGATAAGAATAATAAGAAAAGATTATCTGCCATGGGTTTTATCCAGAATGATGGAGAATTTCTCTCAGAACTTACAAATTTTAAGAATGATGGCAAATCTACCTCAAAACTTTTAGTCCTTAAAAATGGAGTTGAATTTTTTCTAAATTCATGGATGTTATCAAGAATAATAATAAGCTTCCTTCTAAATATAACTCGAAGGAAATTTCCTACAAAATATAGTCAATAACTATGATGAAGAAAAAATAAAATAAAATAAAATTGACTTACATATTGCTCAAATTTTCTTTTACGAGTTTGGTTTTCAAATAATTTTCTACAAGTGTCAACAAGAGCACTACCTTTCTTTGTCTTCAAATATTTAAGTTAGATTAAGTTTGATAGTAACTTAAATAATAAAACTTACATTTAACCACTTATCATAATCAGTACATAAAGTGTGA